AGTGGAACTCAGCCATATGCTCATTTTCGTAGTTTAATGCAGTCTTGCTAATGTAATCACAGTAAATATCTATAGAGAACAAGAAGCTGAAAGCATTCAAAAGAAAAAGAAACGACTTTGATACTATCAGTAGATTATATGATTTCATAAAAGGGTCATAATCTGCAATTTTTCATTTAATTGGCATCTGGAGATTTGTGGGCATAGGTTATTGTGGGGAGGAATTCTAAAGTTCAGACATTTTACTATATTAGTCTGCACCACCCCAAGAGAAATTCAAAGAGTAGATTATTAAAAACAAAACAAAACAAAACACATATATTTCTCTCCATTCTGGAGGCTGGAGAGTTCAAGGCTGAGGGGCTTGTCAGCAGGTCTTTCTTGCTGATCGTCCCATATGGAAGAGCAAAGGAAAAAGAGGAGGACAGGAGAGATAGAGAGACAAGAGGAAGAAACCCATTCTTTTGCAAAGACCCATTATAGCGCAGGAACATCAAACTATTCATGAACTCAGTGTTTCTAGGACCCAAATGGGTCCTATTAGACTGCACCTCCAAACACCACTGCATTGGGGAGTAAGTTTCTAAAACATCAGCCACAGAGGACTTATGAAAACCCTAACTCTACAGGACTGAATGTGCTAAATTTAAGTTGACTTGAGGAAACTATATAAAGACAGATTGGTCATTATAAATATGTTAGGAAAAATATCACATGAAATGTTTGTATTCATGAGGGGTGGTGATATCCAAAATCATTTCACTGAGTTCTCATTGAACATTCAGTAGCAGGTAATCCATTTCAAATGCTTTATATTTCTTATTTTTAATCTCCTTCCATTTAATAAGGAAAAGACAACTCCAACTGCTTAGCTTCAGGACTGGAAAGGATAGCATACATGAACATCATTTACGTAAATTGATAGATTTACACAGCCGGCTTCATTTCCATAACTGCTGAATGACCAAAAGCAGGAAAGTGTTGCTGATTGCAAACGCTATTGCAAAAATAATAAAAAGATGTTTGCTTTCAGCACTTAGTGCAAGCTCCATTCGTCCCAGAGAATGTTAAAATCTCAAACATCTGGAATTACAAAACCACCAAGACATTGCATATGGCCTTCACGTATTGATGTGGAGGGCGTGGATCAGCACAGTGTCTGAATGAATCACAGAGCCTGAAATACTATGGAAAGAATATGCGGCCGAGAAGTCTTCAGCTTCAGTGATAAGCAAGTGGAAGAAGGACATGGAGTCTCCTTAGTCCTTCCCAACTCAGTCCTTCCCCCAACCCTTATCCAACATACTAATGATACACAGCTATGGAAATAAAGCTCTGAATAGCCAGTGTTTTAGTGACCTGAACTCCCTGCCAAATGCAGGCCGTCTCTTCTTCTGACTCAACCCTGTGTGTTCACAGTTCTTCTCAGCTATCATGAGTGACTCTCTTCGGCTAGTTTTCATCTAGGGCCTACAGCAGAGAAAGACCAAAGCAAATCAATTAGAATCCTCCGTGTTTCAGCTAACATTTTGTATTGTTAACCACCTTCATAGCACAGCCATAAAGAATAACTGGTAGGTTGCCGTGGAAGCCCAGTGTTTCATGTACCCTGCTGGGACCGAGCTTTTCTTTTCGGTCAGAGTTCCAATCTAGTCTGGGTGTGTGAGTTCTTTCTTCTCTTTTTAGCAAGACTACTTCTCTTCATCAAACCTGACAATCGACCAACCCCAGCTGAAATTTTCCCTATGGAGAGCCCTATCTGTTCTTAGCCATGCAAAATTTTGAAGTTACAAATGAAAGATTGTCCCTTGTTCCCATTCTATAGTAAATGGCAGAAAAGATCTTGTGCTGGGGGTCAGATCCTGGCTCTTCAACTCTCGCAACCTCCCACCCCAGAGGTGACATAAGTGATTTCTTGACAACTGTAATCTACATAAGGGTTGGAGAATGTAAGCAGAAAACACTTCTGTGGCTCATAGGTTTCTGCTGTCCAGGCTCTCCCTGTGAAAATCCTTACAAAGCGATTATGGTGTTCCTCTTTTCTTATTGAGTTTCAGAATCCTTCAACATTATGGTGCTCTAGGGTGCCAACTTACTAAAGATGCACAGTCTCGCCATTATAGCTGAATTTCCAAGATGCATAATCTTTAAAACATCATTTCAGCTTGATGTATATTTTGTAGCTAATAGTGATTATTTCCATTTTGATTTTATATGGATATTTCAGTTAATTCTTGTTAAAATATGTAGCTGAATGGTAATGCCAAACAGTAACCTAAAAAAAAATAATTTATCCACATAAACATCGCTGGTTTGGGTATTTGTTCAGATTTTATTCTTCCTACAAGATGTTACTAGGAACTGACCTCTGGGACATCAGACCATTCAGACAGTGCGAAACTCTAATACCTGCCTTTATCATCAGATCATGATAAAGTTTAACATATACATTAGGCACAGCAAGATATTGAATTTAATAAGAATAAAATGGAAGCCAAGTATATTGGAACACAGCCATACTCTTGGCCCTGGGGAACTGTAGACAAGAGGGTCAGAAGTTCAAGGTCATTCTTGGCTACATAGAAAGTTCAAAGTCAGACTCAGTTACATGATGACCTGTTGCAAAACCAAAACAAAACCAATAAAGAATAATTCATAATGAAAAGCATAACAATGTACTATAATAAAAGGAGTGTAATTGTGGTCTCTCTCAAATAACACACTGTAGAACAGTCACAGTTCTTGATGTCACACACTGTGAGATGTTCTCACTTGAGCACAAGCACTGGGAAACCTAGACAATCTATCTGATAACAGAGATGACTGCTAAGTGACTACCAGGGGGGTTAGGTTGAATAAAGGTGATTCACAGCCTGAGTAAGCAGAGCAGAGTAATGTAGCATTTAACCTGCTACTCAGAATGGCATGCAACATGAAACTTATGAATGCTCTCTGGAATTTTCCATGTAATAATTAATATTTTTAGAGACTGCAGTTGATCACAGGTGAATTGAAATGATTATAACATCCTCGCCTTAAAAAATTGGATTGTGTCCTAGTAGAAAGCTTGCAACTGTTCACGGTTAATATACCTTTTCCTTTTGGAGCATATGCGTCTAGAGCTAAAGACTAAGAACCAATTTTCTGACATGGTAAATAAACTGAAGTTTGTTTGAAAATTATAACTTTGTGCCAGGTGTAGTGGAACACACCTTTAATCCCAGCACTCAGGAGGCAGAAGGAGGCCAACCTGGTCTAAATAGTAAATTTCAGGCCAGCTGAGGCTACATAAAGACCCTGTCTCATGAAAGATAAGAAAGTAAGAAAAGAAGGCAGGAAGAAGGAAGGGAGGGAGGGAGGGAGGGAGGGTCGGAAATTTTAATTTTGTAGCCTTTTCGGTTGAAGCACATAAAACGCTAAACCTGTAATTACTGCAATTGTAAAATTTGCATCCGACTATGTGTACTTTAAGGAATTCTTCTTATTTTGATTTTAAATGCTAAATGAGCCAAGTTTTTAATCTAAGATATTTTAAAACATAGTTTTCATTAGCATTTATAAATCAGCAATGGCTTATTTACCATAGAAATGAAATACTAGATTGACCATGCTTTTTGCATGAATTCGTTGAAATTATTTATAGGTATAAATTCCCTGAAATTTCAACCTGAGCATCTGATGGTCTAAAAGCTTACGTACTTCCTTCATACTTTCTTTCACATGGATTTGAAATCAATATAACACCTCCCACGAGGCCATGCTTGAAAACACGCTCCTAATGATTATGAACTGACTTGGTATACAAAGGATTCCTTATCATTAATCACAGTAAAGGCACATGATGCTCACATGCTTAGCCCTAAACTTACCCTTCAAATAAGCCTTCATTATATTGCTGATTCATTACATGGGAGACAAGCTTTCTAAATGTTCCTTTTTCAGTAATTATCTAAAACAATTTCTTATAAATTTTGAATTCTGACAACATTATCCTAGAAAGTATAAAAGGAAAATATAACAACCAAGCATTTCAAATGTCAATATTTATGCCTTTAATCCCAGCATTTTGGAGGCAGATGGACCTCTGTGAGTTTGAAGCCAGCCTGGTCTACATAGTGAGTTCTAGGCCAGTCAGGGCTACATAGTAAAAACCCTGCCCTAAAAAATAAAGAAAGAAATCAAATGTAAATATTTGCCTTCTTTTAAATTTCATTTTAAAGTTTATATTCTTTGACTTTCAAAGATTGGCATTCAGAAATACTACTTCTACCCCCTGCATATTTATATATACTTATCCTTTATATATGATATACTTTAAGTATGTTTGAGATAAATGAACCTATGCAAAGAAAAATTAAAGTGAAATTGAGATAGGACATAAAATTCATAGTTAACAAATTGTTCATCTGGAATCCAAAATGAGATTGTTGGTAAAATTTAGTATTTTATTTTCCAAAGATTTTCCTGACTTTTAAGGAAAAGAGCAAGAATGTTTTTCTCTTGCTCAGATTATTGAGAGAGAAGAGGGCACCTAGCTTTGGAAATTTAACAGCCAAAAGCTTCATCTTCCAACTCATCATTTCTTTTCTCATTCACCACTTTACATGTTAGCTCCTTTCTCTAAACTTGTATTATATATTTAGAAATTATCTTTTTCTTAATTATAAATTATCAATGACACAAGTTCATCTACCATTTGAATGCCTACCACGAGTGACAAACAACAGACACTGGTTTATGGCTAATCTGCTCAGTAATCCTGCCAGATTTGTACTATTCTGCTGTTTCTCTGATGGTGAGACTGAGCCAAGAGAAGCTTGCACACCACCACATAGATGATGAAAGCACTTAACTCAGAAGCACTTTGTAATTTTAGGATCTTTTCATATAGAGTGCCCATTTAAAAATGCTTATTTGAACAACTCTGTAAAGCATTGCATCTCAGAAAAGAAGAATTATACAAAACCACTGACCTTGACTATCACTGTGCTCTCTTGCAGCATGTGAACTTATGAACCAGGGCATCCTGGCCCTGGTTAGCTCCATCGGCTGTACCTCGGCTGGGTCCCTCCAGTCTCTGGCAGATGCCATGCACATCCCCCACCTCTTCATTCAGCGCTCAACGGCTGGGACTCCAAGAAGTGGCTGTGGCCTCACCCGGAGCAACAGAGTCGACGACTATACTCTTTCTGTTCGTCCACCTGTCTACCTGAATGAAGTCATCTTGAGAGTGGTCACAGAGTACGCCTGGCAGAAATTCATTATTTTCTATGACAGTGAATATGGTAAGTGTTTGTAGTCTGTATGAGTTTTGTAAGATGATTGCATGAGAAACATCTTCATTAAATCCTGAAAAAAATTAATGAATGTGAATTTTATACAATATATTTTGACCATATTTAGACTCTCCTCCCCTATGTGCACCCCTCTTAATGCCCCCTCCTTATTTCATGTCATCTGTCATACATATATTAAGGTCTACTGTGTCAAATTTGTACCCCCAAATATCCTTTGGTGTGAATTCATTCACTGAACCATAGTTACTCTATCTAGCATCATGCCTTTAAAGAAAACAGAATCTCCCTCTTCAAGTACTAATTGCTGCTTTCTTGCTTCTTTTAAACCTAGCAGCAGTAATCAAACTGGTTTTAGATGCTGTTGGGTTTATCCTTTGCATTAAGTCCCTTTGAAGTACAATTTAAATGTGAATATTTGCTGGAGTACAGGCCACATGCCTGTCACACCAGCACTTGTGAGAATGAGGTAAAAGGATGAAGAGTTCAAAGCCAGCCTGGGATGCATAACAAGACCATATCTCAAAAATAAATCATTTAAGCCTGTATGGTGGCACAGGCCTTTAATCCTAGCACTCTGGAGGCAGAGACAGGTAAATGAATCACTGTGAGACTGAGGCCAGCCTGGCCTCCATATCGAGTCCAGGCCAGCTGGAACTACAGGCGAAAAATAAATAAACATATAAAGTGAAACAGATAGATACATAAATAATAAAATAAAAATAATATATAAATAAATGAATAACTTAGAGCCAGGTGTGATTGCTTGTACCTTTAATCCCAGCACTCAGGAGGCAAAGGCAGGCAGATTGCTATGAGACTGAGGCCAGCCAGGTCAACATAGCAAGTTCCAGACCAGCTACAGGCAGACCATCTCAAAAAGACTAAAACATAAAAAAGTTTAAAAAATAGTTTAAATAAGCAAAACGTCTAATGTTTTAAATTGAACATCTAATGCTCAATTTACAAGTGTTTCTAAGGTAATATGACTAAAACATATATCTTGATTTTTTTAATAAAGGAAGTATAAAGACAGCACTATTCTTTAAAACTTCATAGATCAAAGATGGTGACCACGATAATAATGAAACTTTGGACAGATCCTAGACCACTAGAGAAAGAAAAGCTCTTCCTGTTTATTTGCTAAAAGAAATCTGACAAACTTGCTCATACTCTTGTTTTGATTTCAATGTCTATTCAACCCTTTAGATGTGATGAAATTAGATCATTATGTACACAGCTTATTTTCTTCCGTATGAAATTTCACAAAAATATGTACTAGTACAAAGCAATTTATTAAATCTTACACTGCAAAACATGCAGTGTCTCTAAATGTACCATAGTTTGAGGAAAACACTTTGTCTCAGGATATTTACTTGTATTATTATTAACATGTTAAGCAAAAATAATATTTCCCTTTAAAAAACATATTTATTTATTTATTTTTTATTTATTTATTTATTTATTTATTTATTATTTTATGTGCGTGAATGCTTTGCCTGCACGTATAAAAGTGCACCAGTGTCACAAAAAGCCTGCAGAGGCCAAAAGAGGGTGTCAGATCCCCTGGAACTGGAGTTATGAACTGTTGCTGATGGCCATCCTCTGGAAGAGCAACCAGTGCTCTTAACTGCTGAGCCATCTCTCTAATCCCCAAAATAATATTTTCTGTTATATTCTTTTCTGAAGCTCTTTGTTTTCTCAGAGTCCAGATCTCTTTAAATGTAGTTCCCCTTGAATGTTTGATTGACTGATTGACTGACTGATTTTGAGACAGGTTCTTCCTATAGCCCCAAATGGCCTGGAACCCATTACATAAATCAGACTGGCCTCGATTTCACAGAGATCACATGCCTCTGCTTCCCAAGTCCCGAAATTATAAGTGTGTGCCACCACAACCAGCTCTCATTTTGTGAGTAGAGGAAGAAGTGAACAGAGAAGGGTATGATCAAATGAGAACGAATAAATCTCTGAATGAAGAATGCTTGTTTACAGACCTGTCTCCTTAGAGATTATGTTTCGAGGATTCTAAAGTGTTTCTTTTATGGGTCTTGTTTTTCCACTATTATCAAGAGTGAGGGTTTTTTTTGTTTGTTTTTTTTTTTTAAGTAAATAAGTAAACAGGCATTAAAAACAAAGAAATTCATTCTACTCTTAATCTGGCTGGCTTGTGAGTAATAATGAACAATGACAGGATAGTGAGCTGAGCTGCAAAGTACCCATAACAGCACTGAGACTCAGCAGGTTGGCAAAAATCTGGAAAGTAACAAAGAAGGGCCCCTGGGGACATCAGGAAGGGGGACAGGGTCAGTTCCATTTAGCCCTAAGTAGTCAAAGTGGCCTGGACTTTTGGCAGCTAGAATTCTCATTGAGCTCAATGGCACTTCAGCCAAAGTCTACGAAACTGCAAACACATTTTGTGTCCAAGACGGAAACCAGTATTTTTGTTGTTTAATTCACATTATTTAGGGGTCACAGAATAAAGTGAAATGAAGAAAATAAGCAAATTCAATATTAAAAAATTTTTGGCTCATCAGCAAAAGGACTGGACAACACAAAGCTGAAATTCCCGCCTGATTCTGTAGTGAGCAGAGCACACTGTCTCTGGAATCAAAATGCTGACTGTGCTTTTGCCCACTTCCGTCCAGTTAGGTCAAGTCCTCCTTTTCAGCTTTAAATGGCACTCTTGCAGCCTCTGATCAAACATAAGCTGAAGTAATGAATTTTTAAGACCCTGAATCTTCAATGGGAGAAAACACTTCACTTAGCCCTATAAAATAAACAGCAGAAAAGTGATTTTTGATGAAGGCATTTTCACAACATTAAAATGAGAAATGGACCCTTTGATTATAAACGCCTGTGCGGAAAGAAAATCACTTATTAGCTTCTTTCCAAGTCCTGTGAGAATTACAGGCAGGGAATTCTTATAAGAGAAAACATTTTCATTATTGATGAGCTAAAAACAGTTTGAAAGTGCTCACTCAGTACGTAGGTGCGGAGTCCTTTATGGATGTGTGCTGTCTTTCATTTTTCCTTACCATGCACAGGTGCTGTAACTGCACAGTGGATGATGGTGTTGTATTTGAACTGCAGGATTTGTTTTAGGAATATGAAAACATTTCCTTTTACTCTACTGATACTCTTTCTTTTGGCTCACTTAATTTAATAATTCATGAAAAACAGTCCAGCTTCTATTATTGTTTCCAGAAATGCCATTATTTAATGAAAGAAAATTTCCCTTTGATACTTACAATAAATCTTGTTAGTGAAAACTAGGCTGGAGTCCAAAACAAACATCAAGCTACCCAAATACCTTGTACCTCCAAGAAAGCTAAATATATTTACATATCCCTTTATCAGTTCATCACTTTGAATTCAAATCTTAGAATTGTACTTGACTTTTATCTTGATTATCAGGAATTGCTTTCATTAATGAGTACATTAACTATCATCAGTGAATGACATCAGGCAACCTGCTGGGGCTAACTGTTCCTGGAGGTGTATTTAGCTTAAATATATAGTTTCAAAAATGGGCTTCTACTTCCAAATAATTAGAGAAAGAATTTTCTTCAGAAACAGTTAATTATGATTAAGTGTATGGTGTAGAAGTCTGCTTTAACAAAGATAATGCATAACACTGATTCTAAGAAATTGATGCAAAAAGATTAAAAATATAGGAACTTTATTTGAATGGATTGATTGAAGGCATTTCTTTAAAAGGTTTGGAAAGGAGGTTGGAGTGTGGAGCTTTAAAAAACACGTCGTTAGGAAAATATTCATTGCACATATCTTAATTCAATGCAAATTATAAAATAAAAAACTGTAAAGAGTGTGCTTTTACCTTTAAAGAAGATTGAGAACTTTACAATTAATAAAAGATTGTTTTCTGTCTCTTGACAGAGGAACCTGGGTAAAGTGATATCAATGAGTGAATGTTGGTGTATAATGAAGAAGGTGCTTAATTCTGACAGCAGTGGTTCACAAGGCTTCCTGGTCTTGGTTACTAGGGTTAGGTAAAGTTTTGAAAGGCAACATATGGGAGAAACAGTCACTTCAATAGAGAGAAAATATGATCAAGCCTTAGACCAACTAAAATATTAAAAATAGCTCTAAGTATTTTTATTTGCTGAGAACTAGAATCAGAGTGTGATCTGGTATCATTTAATCTTCCCCGCAGCCAAGAATGCAATAACAGGTCTGCTCTGTGAGAGAACATTTGCTATTTGCCACCACACTTCTAAGTTCTTTACATGTATGTATGAGCTCATAGAATACTCACAGTAGTCTTATAAGGTATTTGTTATTGTTGCTATTGTTATTGGTTACTTACACAATTCATGCTTTTATGTATTACTGCATTTTGATATTTTAGAAATAGAGTACGATAATTTCTGACAAATTGAAAATTAAAAAATAAGCTCACACACTGAATGTACATACAGAATTATCATCATTAAAAAGAGACAGTGGCTTAAAGCCTGCAGATTTCCTACATATTATAATAGCATCAAGGAAAACCATGGCATAATTTAATTAGGAAGATTTAGTGATCTTGTAAAGCAGGGAAACAGAACAGTCTTTGGGCTATAATAGACTGGTCCATCAGTAGCAAAAACAGCTGCTTACCTAGACAATATCCGTAGTTCCAGGCCGGAGAGAAACCTTAACCCTTATGAAACAGCAAGCATCAAGAGCCTTATGCTAATGTCAGATCCCCTTGACCTCAGGTCCAGAAGGCTCTGTGAATTAATGCAGTTCAGGTGGTCATGTTGTCACTGGATAGCATCAAGGAGTCCAGAGCTCAGAGAACCAGTATGCACTCTTATCCAGTGCACATTGCTCCTCTCAAAATGTGCAGTAGCAGTACCACAAGAGCCCCATGGAAAACTGTTCTTGCTAATATTCCCTCTTTTTATATTGTTGACTGCTAGCAGCTTTCCCGTGCATTTCCTGTTCTTCTGATTAATCTGAATGACAGGGACTGGGATCAA